AGGAAGAGAGATGGAGGGGCAGCTTTCTCCCAGACATAAGAGCTGGCAGAGGCCATTGCTCCTTTGGTGAGACCTCCCCTCACAGAACTGGCAGGCAGGTGCCTTCTCTGAATCTCCATTAACCTGTTTCACACTTTCGCCCCCCCTCCNCCCCTCCCCCCCGGTGATTCCCAGAAACCTTACTCCTCCCTACTTGCAAGCTCATCCAAGCCATTTCCAGTGGCTTTTCTATGCAAGTGGCCTCTCTAGCCTTATGTTTAGAATTTTCCTAAAATCTCTCACACAAGCAGCTGCTGGCCTCAGGGTGCCCCATACCTCTCAATAAGTGGCCCCAGGCCTGGCTCTAGCAGCAGCCTGCACTGGTTCATAGCTTGGCCTCTCCTGGGCACCTCCAAGCCTAGCACAAGTAGCAGTCATCCACGGATTGCTGTGTAGCTCACACTGGGTGGCCCTGGGCAAGCACTGGCAGAGGATGACTTTGCACCTCCCAGGAGTCCCCAGAGACAGTGCACTCAGTGGTCAGCTTCAACCAGGCTGGGCTACAACTCTACCACATCCACGAGTGACAAACTCAAGGGGTGGACTCGGTGAACACCAAAGCTCCACTGAAGTAAATCCTGCTCCATAAGGGTGTCTCCAGCACAGCAGCTCTTTGGCTGTAGCTGCAGCTGGTCCTCATAGCCAGTTGGCCTGGGGGTCAGTTCCTCCCAGTCACACCAACAGCAACCAAGGCTCAACTACTATAAGACAATGCACACAGCCCACCCAGAGGAGTACCTAGAAGGCCCAGCTCAGGTGACTGGGGAGACTGAGACACTGGGCCCTACAGGACATTTACTACACAAAGCCACTCTATCAATTCCAAGAGAAAGAGCAGCTCTTCCTAATACATAGAAACAAACACCAGGAAGCAGCCAAAATGAGGAGGCAAAGAAACATGTTACAAAAGAAAGAACAGAAGAAATATCCAGAAAAGGAACTAAATGAAATAGAACCAAGCAAGCTATTAGATACAGAGTTCAAAGCAATGGTTATAAGGATGTTCAAGGATCATAGTAAGAAAGGAAGGCTACATAAACTGAAAGGAAGAATAATTTACAGGGAATCAACAGTAGAGTAGAGGACACTGAGAACCAAATCAGCAAGTTGGATTATGAGGAAACAAAAAACACTCAACCAGAAGAGAAAGAAAAAAAAAAAATCCAAAAATATGAAGATAGTGTAAGGAGCCTTTGGGGCAACTTCAAGAGGCCCAACATTCGCATTATAGGGAGACCAGAAGGAGAAGAAAGAGAGCAAGAAATTGAAAACCTATTTGAAAAAATAATTACAGAAAACTTCCCCTACCCCGTGAAAAAATAAATTTACAAGTCCAGGAATCACAGAGAGTCCCAAACAAGAGGAACCCAAATTGGCCCTCAGCAAGACACATCATAATTAAAATGCCAAAGATTAGAGACAAAGAGAGAATCTTAAAAGCAGTAAGAGAAGAGCAGTTAGTTACCTACAAGGAAGCCCCCATATGACTGTCAGCTGATTTCTCAACAGAATCCTTGCAGGCCAGAAGGGAGTGGCAAGAAATATTCAAAGTGATGAAAAACAAGAACCTACAACCAAGATTACACTATGCAGCAAAGCTATCATTTAGAACTGAAGGCCAGATAAAGAGCTTCACAAATAAGAAAACCCTAAAGGAGTTCATCACCACCAGACCAGTACTACAGGAAATGTTGAAGGGTCTTCTCTAAGAAGAAGCTAATGAACAAAAGAATCTGACAAACAAAATAGACCAGAGACATTGATGCATGCAACAGACAGTCTTATCTCAGAGGGA